TAATGGACTAACTTGAAAGCCATTGATTTTTCTGCCCCCATCAGTAAAGTCGCAAAGAAATTCCAAAAACTATTCATGGATCCTGCTGCTTCAATCTTCACAGTACACTTTATAAAAGCATTTCAAGAAAGAGAAGCAGTCAATGTGTGAGTGGAATAAGATAAAATTATCACCCCTGCCTTGAATTTTCACACAGAATATGAACTGAACCAGATCTTCTCTGAGATTCAAAAAAGTTTAGTTAACTTCTTGCGAGTCATTATTTTTTAGTTCCCGCCTGCCTCTGAATTTCCTGGTAGAAGCATGGGAGGAGGCCCAACCTGACTCCTGTTGACTACTTCAGCTCGTGTCGCATTGGGCTCTAGAACTGGAAGGTAGAATGTTCTTAAATTTTTAAAGCTAGTTTAATTTGACTTAGTGTATAATACAGAGCAAAGAATTTACCCACTAATTTCTACAGCAAAATGCAACAACATGTAGCTAAACTAGAGTGTATATTTTAGAAAAAAATAACATCCATTCTTGATTTAAAGGATACACCTACACTACAGCTAGGGGTATAATTTGCAGTTCATGTAGATGTACCTGCACTAACTGTAATCTATTTAGCTCTCTAAAAATAGCAGTGATGAAGCAGTGGGGTGGGTTTAGCGAAGGATGCACAAATGAATATGGACACAGGGGTGTCATAATTATTGGGCCTACAAATTTACCCTCGTTGAACCATGGATAAAAGTTCACCAAAGGTTCAAAAGTGAGACAGGAAAACTGAATTAGTCCAAACAAAAAAACCTCTCGATATAATTCAAGGTCTGTGTTAAGATCATGTCTGGTAAACAAGAGAAGTGTGGGATCACTTAACTGAAATTGGTGTGTCAGAAACTAGGCCTAATTGGTGAACAAAATAAGGAGCAGATGAGCTATCCCACCCATCACTCCTTTTGGGGGTTCTTGAAAATTTGGCAGGAAATTATCAGATGGGGATGCTTGTTGACCGGAAGATGGAAGAACAGGAAGTAGTGTGCTATGCCAACATGGCTGCCATCCTCACCATCTCCTGGGACCCCAAGATTCACTGGGACATCACTGGGCCATTGTTGTCCTGATCCTCAGAGATGTCCTGACCAGATGGGGCCGGATGATCCAGATGACATTAACACCTCCACCAGCTCTGGCTGAACCCCAAATACCACCTGGGATGAGAGACTTTGTCACATACCCCCATTCCCTCCCTTGTGTGTCCTTTTCCTTTCCCACTTTATTCCTTCTCTTTCTTATCCTACTCCTTTCTCCCCTCTGTCTAAATTTGCCAGCTCTCCGAGTGGCTGATCAGATTGTGGACCTGTGCTTTTCCAGCCATGAGGTTGTAAGTGAGTCAACACCAGAGACAGAAGCCGCACTTTCTAACACTGCTATTCTGTTCTCTTCCCTTTTGGGTGTATTTCTCTTGTTTTGTCCTCTAGGCAATGGGATTGGACTTTAACAACAACAGTAATAACAGCAGCTTTGGCCTATCTCAACTAACTTCTCCCGCTTCCCCTGCCCCCAAAGGGACAATTATTACCATCTTTGACACCATCTAAAAACTGTGAAATGTGTGTGTGTTGTGGGGGGGAAATGTTCCTCCTAAAAGCGCTATCCAGCAAAAGGGACAGGGAATACCGCATGCTGTTAAAATAAAAGTCTTAATACTTTACATTTTAAATGCCTTCATTGTTTTTCCTTCTTTTTTCTATAGCTTTGATAAAAGGTTAAAAGGCTGTCTAATGGTGGGTTTGCCATGGATATAAACAACCTGAGGTCTCTGTATACCAAACCCCAAACCTTGGTGAACACTGTTTACTGTTGGACAGTTTCAGGGTCAAGTTAACACTTTGACTCTTTGGGCCCGTATATCCCATCTGAATTAATACAGCAGGGGTCAGGCAAGCTTGTGCAGCCACAGACATGGTGTCCTTTCTTCCAGTTTTAGCTAGATTAAAGCTAGGGTGAGTATGTCTACAGGACCTGCATTCACACCCCCAGCTACAGGATCAATGGCTCCAGCTGATGGAGAATTCGTGACTGGGACTCTATCCCTGTGCTTAATTGCCCTCACTGTTAAAAGTTGTGTCTGATTTCCACTTTCATGATTTCTGACTCCATCTTCCATTCGTTGGATCTTGTTATACCTTTGTCTGCTAGACTAAAGAGTCTTCCAGTATGAGACCCTTTGTTATCTACCTCTGAATAGGAATGTATAGACCATGATCAAGAAGCCCCCTAACCGTCTCGTCAATAAGCTATCACGAAAAGTCTGTTCTGGACAGATTTCAAATTAATTGTACAGACCTAGAAGGCTGAGATTACTCAGACTAGGTTCAAATGAGCATCCAAACATTTCTTAGGTTTGTCCAAGTATTTATAGACAAAATCAAATACGTTTTATCAAATGGGCATGTTTTTTCATTTCAGTGAGATGTTTGCTTGTTTTACAGTACTTGACATTTTCTTCCCTCAGATATAAGCCAGGATTTGAACATAGAGGAGGCTCACAGCCCCTAAGTATCAGATCTAATACTAGGAGCTCCAGACCAGTGGAGTTCACTGTGTTTCAAGGCCAGCAGGTCTGGTTCAACAAGGCAACATGGTTGAATGAATAAGGCCCCAGACTGGGATTCAGGAACATGCCTTCATTTCCCAGCTCTGACTGGCTACATGACCTTGGGCAAGCCACTTACCCACTCTGTGCCTCAGTTTCCCCTTTTTGTAAACGAATGCTGCTCACCCACTTTTATGAAGCACTTTAAGAGCTATGGATTATGACTCCCATTCATCAAGTCCAGTGTGTGTCTAATTTTAAGCAAATTACTAATTCCATTGACTTCAGTGATTGGCTCCATTGAGACTACTCGTGTCCTTAAATACCAAACTGAATTGTGGTCTAAAAGCACTAAATATTGTTCTCATGGTGGCTGTGGCAGCCACTGGCTCAGAGGGGCACAAATTTGTCCTGTGTTTCCTACTTGTCTTCACACCCCTCTGAGGTGTACTTGGGTCGAGCTAAACCCACTTAGCCGTTCTAATTAGAGAATCCCAGCCTCAAGTCCCTGACCACAACACCTCCACAATGTATAAATTCAGGAGCTGGATCCGAATCAGAATCCCTGCCTTTAAAACAGGTTGAACCAAAACAAAAGACTTATCCTCATTATTCTGGAATAATATTACTTTCCCATTCAAGCAACCAGTCTCGGTTCCTTCTTCTGCTGCTCATCAATTAATTCAAGAGGGAAAACAGCTGACTCAGGTTTTCTAAATGTTTTTCTCTTAAAGCAATCCCAAAACATTCTCTATTTTTCAGCTCAGTGTTGACCTAACTCTGCTCCCATTGGGAATTTGATCACTGAAGTCAATGGGAGCAGAAATAGACCAATACTGGGTGCTTTTGAAAATCCCACATAGGTGCTGGAACTGGGGATGCAGCAGCTTGAAGTGGATTATATTATATCCAGGGTTTACAGTTACAATGGCTCTCAGCGCCCCTGAAATCCCACCCAATAATAACAACAACAAGTATTTGCAAGATCCAGCTCTTTATTCAGAATACGTGTCATTTCTTTTGGGCAACCTTCATGAATTCAGTGTGTTTTCAGCAGCTCTCACTCTTTTTAGTGTACATTAGCCTCTGAGAAAAGTTCACTTGCAATGAACACTATTTTTATTCACGTTGATATTCACAACGTGGCAAGTGTACCACATTTTATCTGATGTTTTCAAAGAGGGCAATCAAAACCTCGGCTTCCTTTCTGGTTAGCAACCCAACGCTAGGGTTATCAGATGATTGCCCCCATTGTCATGGCCAGAGCGGGCTGGAGCCTTAGTTTAATTTAGCGATACAGGATCATAAATACATCAGCAGACTCCATTAGAAAGAGACATGCTGAAAACAGGCTTTTTCTCCTTTATGTTTTGCATTTATACATCTGCCTCAATGGCAGCTGTCTAATTGAAAAGCCGTGGCAGGGGATTAAGATCATAGAAGTTGTCACGAAGAAGGCCATTCCGTGCATGTCGATGAATAACCGAGTGCCTGGAGGGGCCAGTCTAGCTCTGAACAGGGATAACAGCACAGTGTTCTCCCCCGTCACACACAGGCTAATACATGTCAACATTTTCAGCTTCCTCGTGGCACAAGGTCATGTCTGCAGCATGCAGTGGCATTGTGAAGAGGGCCGTGCGAGCAACGTGAATGCGCGGGACTGCAGCGGATGGTTGATTTAGGTATTTCAGTGGGCAAGGATGGTGTAGGGCGGGGTAGACTGCAGACCCTGGGCCACATCTGGACCCCCAGACATTTTTGAATGGACCATGACATCTTTTTATTTACTTCTTATAAGCATTATTGTTGTTTTATTATGATGTTCTCTAGAGCCTATCCTTGATTATACTTTGATCAAGAACTCTGGACCTGGACAAAAAATCATTGACTACTCCTGGCATAGGGGCTGCACCGGTGTGGGGAAGAAGGGTGCAGGGGAAAAATGGGAGAGAAGACATATGTGTCTCATTTGTTCCCTTGCTGCATTCAAAGAGGAGAGCCAAATACTCCAGCCACCTAATACCTAGGGCAACCCCAGGGAAGTCAATGGGATAGCAACAGGGGAGCAAATCAATGCAAAATATGGCCCTATAGTCCAATATTTTTCAGCTGTTCTGTTTTAGGGGCCTGATCCACAACCCACTGAAATCAGTGGAAAGACTCTCAACCAGTTAATCCTTCGGGACATTCCTGACCTGGTAGGGAGATAGACCCAGATGAGCTAATGGATCCTTTCCCACCCAGGTCTTCAGAATGATCTGCTCATTTATCCAGGAGGAAAAGAAAGATACACTCCAAGTGACTGGCTAAAGACTATTAAGCTGTGACAGATGCCATGGTGATGAATTGTGTGTGTGTGTGTGTGTGTGTGTGTGTAAAAGAACGATTTCCTGGAGACAGACCCAGCATCATGAAGGAGAGAGGGGGAATCTATTAAAAAGCCTCCCTTAAAATCCCTGCGCAGTGAGTGACCCACCGGACTTGGGGCGTAGGTGCAAAGGACCAGAGGCTGCTGCTCTCTCTGCATCCGCAGGCTGAGCTTTGCCTAGTTCCCCAGAGGGCTGGGAAGAGCAGGGCTTGGAGAGGGGAGGAGAGATCCCCCTGTGGAGGGCTCTGAGAGAGGCAGGGGGGGCCATTTACCCTGAACAGCCTGCAAGCCCCAGAAGGAAACCAGAGAAAGGGAGGCATTTCTGAAGCAGCAGGCGGCGAAGCTCCAGAGGACACCCACCTGCCATAGGGATCCCAGAAGCAGCCGCCAGCCAAACCAACCCCTCTCCCCGGCCCCCAGATCTTTAAAAGCGGCGGGGTGGGGGGTTAAAGACAAGGAAGCAAAGGGATCCAGAGCAAAGGCAGCGCAGGTAAGCGTCTCCCCTTCACCCATTCTTTCACACACCCACACCCACACACCCCATAGGCGGGGGACCCCTGCCACTAAAGGACCTGGAGTGAGCCCCCCCCCCCCTTACCAGGGAAGGAGCCAGGCTTGGAAGATCCCAGACGGGGAGTTTCTCTCTCTGCTCTTCGGGGCGCGCTTGGATAACTTTGCAGCCAGCTGCTGGAGCGCCAGGCGGCCCCTGCAACTTCCCTCCCTTTGAACGCGCCACCCGGAGCCCCGGAGACTCCAGCTGGTCGCTGGGGGAAGTGGAAATTGGGACCCCCCCCCGCCCGCCTTTTGCTAAGTAGCCCTCTCCCTGGTGTTTCCCAGCCTCCGAGCCCCTGTGAGGGACCCAGGCTTCGCAACCATCCCCCGTTTACACAGGACCTTTCCCAAGCGGATCCTGGCACCGCTTCTCTTTTCTGGCAGCGTGTTATCCGCGTCCGTCCCCGCCGCTGCGGCAGGTAGGTCGCTGCTCCCCCTGGCCTGCCCCCTGGCTGCACGGATCGCCGTGGGGCTGGGCTGGGCGAGCGCGGCAACCAGCTGCTTGCCTTTCACGCCCGTTTTAAAGCCCGTAAAGGGGTGGGGCGCGGCGGGGGGGGGGGGGATCTGATCCTCCTTTAGCTGGCTTCGGGGGAGAAGAGTCGGCTCGGGGCTGTAGCCCAGGGGCGTGTGACATCTACTTGGGCTCCTTGGAACTGGGAAGCGGGGGCAGTTTATTTCCTACCTTGCTCTTGCAAAGAAGAATCCACAGACACGCAGGTAACCCTGCCCCCTTGGTTTTTTCCATGTGCCAAAGGAAGCCGGGACTGGAAGAGAGGCGTGTGGAGAGATTTATGGGGCTGGGGTTTGTGACATTCACCAGTGTCTATGGCCAGGCCAGTACGGGGGCACAAGGAAGGGGCACTGGAAAGATCTTTCTTCTTTTGCGGTCCCTTTTCATCTCCAGCTTGTCCTCAGGGATCCTGCCTTTGTCTCCTAAAAGAGTTAGGCACCTATTCCATTCTGAGCTGGGCATCTAACACCCTTAGGCTCCTTTGAAATCCCAGCCGATTGATGGCCAAATTTGCACAGACTTTCCCTCTGCGTCTTGCAACCTATTCGTGAGAGAAAAGACTTTAATAACTGATCAGGGAGGGGGTGGCAAAGTGCATCTGAACTCACTTCGCCTGAGGGGGTAAAGTAAATAGGAGGCTGAGGCCAGAGTGGTATCAAGTTTGTATTAATAATGCAAATATTTTACCCATGCACAGTCTGGAGCTCCCATTTCCTTAAAACTTTCCTTCTTAGGGCAGATCGGAGATAACGGAGGAATTGTTTGCAAAGCCAGGTGAAAAGGACCTCTCCCCCCACCCCCCACGGGGATTTAGGCATCTGTCTCTTTGTGGGGTCCTTGAGCGGGGCTGTGTTGGTTGTTTTAATGGGACGTTTATATGAAAGGCATGGAAGTTCAAGCAGACAATGTAACTAGAGTCCCCGAGACCCCAAACCTCCTGAGAATGTACCTGCTTAAAATAGTTAGACAGTTTATCTTTCCTAAGGGACAAGGTGTGGTGTGCGTGTTCATGCAAATAGCTCCGGATGGCTAAAAGTTGCTTTCAAATACAGCAGCGACTCAAGGAATCTGAGCCCATCTGCACACGTACATTGCATATGTGTTCATGCCCATGTACATATAAATGCATATATAATACAGTGACAAGTGACCCAGGCAGTCCTAAGCAGTCACCTTGCATGCAGCAACAAATGGAGTGCTTGCCTAATAGAGGTTAGTTTTTAAAGGCAGCCCAAAGTTTTTTAGGGATGCTTTAAAGTGATCACTTAGAGGTGGGGAGAGTTGTCTGTAGAGGTGGTTGTTGAAGCGGTGTATGTAGATCTTGTCATAGCAGACAAGCTCCACGTTGTTTGATCTTTGTAATGAGCAATGACCTGGAGAGGTTATAGCAACAGAAGCTGAACAAGTGGAGCAAAATGCTAGTCACCAGTAGATAGGCAGGGACTGCATGAACTGCATGTGTTTATTGGGAAACAAATGCATAGAATTTTGCTTAGTTAGGGTTACAATGCAGGCAGAAAATATTTACTCTTTGCATGTGAGATCTAGATACATATTATTAATACCGTGCCCATAAGTATATGTGTGAATGCCAAACCACCACTGCTCATTCTGTGATTGTACCATTTAACACCTTTTCATGGATAGTTGCATGAAAGCACTTTCATTTACCTGAATTATAGAATCACTAAATCATAGAAACGTAGGGCTGCTGGAATGACTCTCACATGAACAAGTGTATTTGTGTACGAAGAAAAGTATTCACTGTTGATTAATCACTATTCACTATTCTTCTGTTTAAAACATTTTAGACAACCAGTCAGGGAGCAGAAATAATGCCATGTGACTTACGTGGCCACTCACACCCCAGGAACCATTAGTCAAAAGGGATAATTTATGAACATGCCAAAGTCTGAAACATTTTGTATGAATTATTCCACAAAGACTTGCAAATTGCAAATATGCATTTATGAACATTTTATAAACTGAAAAGGGCACAGTTCATGGGATAATTTATCACAATGAATTATTTGTCCTGCTCTAATATGTATATAAAATACATAATGGCCGGTCATGAGGGTGATAACACTAAAATTGTCAGCAGAAAAATATAATTGCTAAAAATTTGATACATTACCCAAAGCCAAAATGGTAACACATCGTATATTTGCCCTCAAAGTCAGTCAGTATCTGTGGTATCAACTAATCAGGTGAAAAAAGCTCTATGTTATTTATTTATTTAGAAGAAGAAGCAGAAGAAAAGGCTTTATTTTGTGAAAAATGGAGAATGGAACAATTTTTGTTTCATTAAAATTTTTCACAATTTTTTTCATTTTTTAAAAATTTTGTCAACAGGTTTTGCACATGTTGGTTTCACTTCAGCCAAGGAGAAAAAAGATTTCTCTTGTTTTTTAAAATGTTTTTTCCAATGAGAAAAAAGGGACGTTTGAAAAAGTGAGAAAAAATTACTCTCTCTCATTTTCTCCCAACTTTTCCATCCCTTTTTCCATGGGGGAGGGGGGAGAGAAGCAAAAACTGTGAATGCTGAATTTTAAAAAATTGAAAAATTTGCTAAAAATAATTGCGACTGAAAATTGAAAAATTTCCACAAAAATGGAAATTTTCATTTAGTTAAAAAAAAAGGGTTTTATTGCAAAATCTTTGCCCAACTCGGTTTATTAAGAGAGAGACAAGATAGGTGAGGTAACATCTTTTACTGGACAACTTTGGCAGAATGCACAAGCTTTTGAGCTCCTCCTCAGCTCTGGGAAGGAAGCAGAGTCTGTGAGTTAAATACAAGGTGGGATAGATTGTTAAGCAGAAGGGGTAACAGTGGGAGGTCACTTGAAATGCAGTGGGAGTCTGGGGGTTAGATTGATATGCATAGAGAGTTTGAAGGTTGCCGGCAGTGCTAAGGGCTTGCCTACACTGAAAATGCTACAGTGTAGACTCTACCTACGCCAACAGAAGGGTTCACCCATTGCCCTAGGTAATCTTCCTCCCAAGAGGCAGTAGCTAGGTCGACGGAAGAATTCTGCTCTCGACCTAGCACTGGCTACTCTGGGAGTTAGATCAGGGTATCTATGTCTTTCAGGAGGTGTTCACATTCCCGAGAGACATAGTTACACAGCTGTCAAATCAGCCGGCTAAAAACAAGCAATGTTGGGCTTGAAATGTTAAAAGCTCGGTGAGTATTTTGGGCAGGTCGTGGCCCACAGGTTTTTCCTCTTAATTGATGGGCCACTTTTTTTGGGGGGGTGGGGGGTTCCTTTGGGGATGCGGGCAGCCTGGCTTACCCCCTTGTTCAGCGTGATGATGTTTACTAAGCCCTCTCCCCGGCAGGGTAGTTGTAATGAACCAGTGTCCCTGCTAAAACCCTGGCTTTTGGTGTCTAGCAGAGTTACACATTTATTATATTGTTTTACGCCCCTGCCTACCTCAACACACACTCCTCCTAAGGCCAGATCCTCAGGTACTGTGTCCTTTGACTTCAATAGAGCTTCACCCGTTTACGCCGGCTGAGGGTCCGCTCCTTCATTTCAAGCCCCTCCTCTTGCTTCACCTGTTAAACGAAGAGCTGGATTTCCCTCTCTGCAGTGGAGAAGCAGTGAGCTCAGCTGTCCTGCCTCCCCATTCTCTTGTATTTTGAGGGAGGGGGCAGTATCCTTGCTTCACAACAGGAGCACTCTTAGGAGGCAGTAGAGCAGCCATTTTTCTCCCCATCAAAACCAGTAGCTCCCCTGGCACATTGTGGGAAACTTTGAGAAACAGTCAAAATTGAGGTACAATTCTACTGATGTGTCCTGGCTATTTGCCCAGCTGGTTTTTCTATGACTAAATTCCATCACTTGCTTTAAAATAGGATCTATCTGGCAGGTTCGCATTTCATCTGCTCCTGCTGCTTATTCTTCACTGAAAAGCCATAATCTAACTTTCTGTTATCTTAATTCTCTTCACACCGAGTAAATTTGATGCTGTACAGAGAAGATTATGATTCCAGTTGGCGAGTAAGTCGCAGGAGCCGATGAAACCTTTACCCACAAAGATTCTGGTTTTTATGCAACTTCTTCCTGATCTCTGTTGGTGACAAGTTTATGTCCTGAAGTATTAGGCTTGATAAGCCTTAGCTTTGCTATTGTAACTGTGGTACTGTATATAGCACAATTTGGAGCAAGTACACTGAATTGCAAGCCTAATTTATGAATGCAGTTACCAACGCTGCAAATTCAAACTGCACCGTTGAATTTGCAAATGGCCATTTGTGTGCCTGAATGACCATTTGCATGCACAAATATCTGATTTCATGCATGCAATAAAGGTAATTGTACATTCAAATCATGCACACAATTGGACATGTAAAGTTTGGAGAATCGAGCCCTAGCTTATTAAAATTGAAAAAAAAAAATTAAAATCCTATTTACTGCTCTTCTCTTTAAGCTGTTTATTTACCTTCTATATTTCTCTCAGCTTGGAGTATGAAATGGAATAAAAGCAGTTTTGCCTTTGCTTATAGTCATTTTCATCCTCAGGTCCTCAGGGCAGCAACGGATGGGTTTCAGATATGTAGAACAACCCCACCTGTATCATCTCAGAGGTTGGAACTGAGATCTTCAGCACTGAAACCGCACGAGTCTAATGGTGGAGCTCCATTAGCTGGCAGCAGTAGTAGGTTCTTAGTAATGGAAGCATTTCTCTAAATCTGAAATGTGGGTTGTACCAGCCTATGATCTGAGAGAACCCCTTGAAGGCAAGCTTTCTTGAATCCTTGAAAAGCATAGCTTGAAGATGGGTGGTGAAACGGAAGTGACAGTACGGTAGAGAAGTAACTGCTGCTGGCGAGGGTGAGGTGATACCGATCGCCTGTCTAAAGCGCTTTGAGACCTACGGGGGTCAAGTGCTGTATAAGAGCTAAGTATTATTATTATTGATTCATTAAAGATGCTGAAATAGCAGATGGAAAGAGTGGAGCTTTCGGAGTCTACAACAGCAAAACTCTTCTTTCTGTATAAAGATATGCACTGAAGAGCTATGCTTCCCTCCATGTCCTATTTTCTCCCCCAAAGAAGAAAACATTTCTTCCCCAGTTCTCTACCCCATGCTCCCCTGGGATATGCCTGTCCCATAAAACCCGATAACCTCATGTTCCCTGCCCATTTCCTCTTGTCTGCCAACCCAGCACATCTCTGTGTGGTGCCATTCTGGACTGCATGTCTATATTCCCCATCCCCAACTTGCATTCCTGATGTGGCCTGCTTCTTCCTTCCCCAGATAGTTCTCAAACAGAGTGAGCAATCTGGAGGCTGGTCGCATCAGAACAAGCCAGGGGAGGAGAACTGCTCCTGGCAAAGTGCAGACATATCAACTCAAGCCTTTCTCAACCCTAGTCTTGCCTTGATATCACAAAGCAGAGAGAAACTCAGAGCTTGAATGTCTTCAGATATCATCTTACCTGCTTGAGGTCTTGTGAATTTCCTTGTCCTCTGTCATTCCCATGGGTTTCACTACCAATTAGTGCATCTGGCTTTCAACCCTCAGGGGGCATTGGCACAAAAGGCAGAGGTTCAATTTTTTTCAAGACTGCCAGAGCCAGCACACAAACAGGAGGGTTCTTAAGAGTTAAAACTTTGCCCACACATTCCCCCACTGGGCGTGCTGAGCCCCGAGGTAGCTGTTTTTGTACTTCTCCCCAAGTAAGGCATCCAGAACTCAAATGTAGGGATGATGGTAGTTCCTTGTGAATTTAGCCAGTACTCAGGGTATCACGGATTGATGGAAATTTGTGAAAGATTTTGCGATAAAAATTGCAACATGATGAGTTTAGAAGTAGCATTTTATCATGTAAGCAACAGCTATGTGGTTTCCATGGAACCGAAAATACAAAATGCACCAGATAGAATCTAATAAGAGTGCCAGGGCTAAAACTCCTGCTTTTACAAAATAGAATAAAATAAAAATCTGTTGAGGAATCTCTAAAGAAAAAAGTCATTAGGACCTTGTTTTTGCATCTCCACTGAGAGTCGTTTCTTCCAGCAGCACAAGTTCCTTTCCCAACAATGCTGGGACACGGTCAGAATGGGCACACCGCAGGGAAGAGTACCACTCACAGAAGCACCAGCCCCACTTTCTGTAGAACGTGGGTGGTAATGTATTTGGAAAAAGAAAAGGAGGACTTGTGGCACCTTAGAGACTAACCAATTTATTTGAGCATAAGCTTTCGTGAGCTACAGCGCTGTAGCTAACTAACTAACACGGCTGTTACTCTGAAATGTATTTGGAGGCTCCTCAGCTAAATATTAACCTAGCCCACTCCTCTTTAGCTTGTGAGCTATACAATCTCAGAAGTTACTTGCCTACTGTATCTATCAAGGGTCTTCTATCAGGGCCATCACTGCACTGTCAAAAACACAAGGTAGTGTGGCCGTTCATCAGGTACAGAACCTGCAAATTCCCCTCCAATTTCTTTTCTCCCATATTTGCTATAGTTTCATAGAGTTTAATGGCAGATGGGACCATTAGATCATTTAATCTGACCTTCTGTAAATCACAGGCCCTTAAATTTCACCCATTTACTCCTGTATGGAGCCCAGTAACTTGTATTTGGCTAAAGCATATCTTCCAGAAAGAGCAACCACTCTTGACTAGAAGACATCCAGGGATGAATACTCTAGCTACAGCATGTACTTGTGATCTTCAACCGCAGTCCCCTTCAGTTTTCTGTCCTAATCTTCGTGCAGTTTTTGTCTTCGCTGGCACATCTTCCCCAATTGCCAATGATAAAGCAGACTGTTTTCTTCAGACATGGACTCCGCACCTGCACATTTCAGAACCAGAACAAACTATTTCCTATTATTACTGAGAGCTGGAGGCACTTACACTATGGCCCACTGTGAATGTAGTGGATGAAAGAGAGAGAAGTAATCTCCTGAGCTGACCGCAAGGTTCTGAATGTAAACTCTTCTGCAGTTCTACACTGTCTGTTTTGCACCTCATTACGCTTGTAGTGGTGGCTCCATAAACTAGCTAGACAGAGTGCTCATGCAAGAGATACAGTAATAAATAACATCAGTGTGAGTCAGCCACAGTGGAGGCAGAAGCTTGGAAAAGTTCCCCCTACTCAGCTTGGCTAATAAACCTTAACTCCTACTCAAATGTGTGTGGCCTAGTAGATAGTGCACTGAGCTGAGAAACAGGAGACCTGCGTTTTGCTCCTAGCTCAACTACTGGGTGACCTTGGGCAAGTTGCTTCACCTCTGGGCCATGCCTTCCCCGCCTGCAAAAGGTTTGATAATGATGCTGACTTCCTTTGTAAAGTGGCTTGAGATCTACTGAAATAAAATGTTCTGTAAGAGCTGGGAATTATTATTACTGACTGTCAGGGCACCCATTGAAGTCAGGGCTCACGAAAGGCGTTTTCTTGACACAGAGCTCAAATCATAAGTTGGGGTCATGCAGAAAGAGCGTCCGGGAAAAGCTAATGGATTTAGGATTTAGAGCTGGAAATGAGCTGATCTGTTCCTTTCTAATGCAGTTTTCTTTGCATTCATGAGTGCTACATCTAGTGCTTTGTCTATTCTTAAATGTCCCAGAACATAGGACTTCCCGTCATAGATATCAGTGAATTTATACTCAGGCTTTGTTTGCTGTAATGGATGGTTTTATTTTTCCCCACCTACACAGGTGCTGATGTTTCCCGTGGGTTTTCAAGTGGTTCAGGCAGACTGTAAGTGGCATCTGAATCTATCAGATCAGATTGTTTGTATGTGAGCAGGCAGATCCGGGAAATATTTCAGTGGAATGAGCTTCAGCTGCAAATACGGTCTGGATTTTAAAAACACCCTTCTCCCCTTAGGCATTTAGATTTGGAATTTCGGTTCAAGCCTGTTGCTACTCACAATGGATTAATGCATAGCCATTACGGACCAGAATATAGCAAATGATGGGTAGATTTTAAACCAATCAGCAGCTATAGCTGAGCCCAGATTTTCAAAAGGCCTCAGCCCAGCAGGTTCTATTGTGACACTTTGGTTGCTAAAAACCCTTTGAAAATCTGGCCCTAAATTAATGGCTAATCTCTTTCAGTAGGAGCTCAGGTGGTTTTTCCACACTGGAAAGCAGAGAATTTCACCTTCTTTTTGGGTCCCGGAAAGAGATGAGGCATAAGGCAGATGGGTTATAGAATCATTCAAATGACACATTGTCTTCGAAGTGGCATGAGACAGTGCGCAGAAATTAACATTCATGACTGGCAATGCTTTCTTGGGAAAAGATTGCTCTTGCTACCCACATGCCAGCACAATATTATAAACAATGATGGGCAAAAAACAATACATAAAACTCACTTTTTGGTTTCAAAGCTTTAGAGTAGTGATGGGCTTGACCTAGAACTCTGGATCCAAATGCCCCTGAACTCTGGAGTGTTCAAAATCTGCATCTGTATTTGAAAGTTCCATCTCTGCTTTTCAGGCGTATTCCTTTCCAAACAGCTCCTGAGGATGAAACCGAGACTTATGTGCCCCTATTGTGATGAGCTATTGGTCTGTTCCAGCTTGGTGATTAATCATAGAAAAGAATAATAGATTCTTATATTATTATTTATTGGGGATGTTGTATACCAATGCAACACCTGCTTGATACAAAAACGATTGTTGATTATACTTGTAATTACGTTTATGGTACACTGAGCAATGCCTACAACAGATGCTTAACGTAAAATCCAGTTCTGGATGTTGCCCATCAAATGCATGGCTTTTCAAAATTCTTTTTTTCTTCTCTTTCTTCTTTCCTTTTCTTATTTCAGGAACAAGATGGTTGTGAATCTTAATCTATCTCAGCCTTAACAAAAATTGGGAAAGAAAAAATGGATCCTTTATATTTTTCCAGTGCTTTTGGCATGGAGGTCAGTGCCCAAGATGTAAATTCTTCCTCACTGATGAACATGACGGGGAATAGGACTATGCCAGGACTGCCTGTGTCCAAAGACGTTCACACAGTTCTTATCTCTATCATATATCTCCTTGTATGTGCAATCGGACTCAGTGGGAACACCTTGGTCATTTATGTGGTTTTGCGTTATGCCAAGATGAAAACAGTCACCAACATTTACATCTTGAATTTAGCAGTAGCCGATGTACTCTTCATGCTTGGCTTGCCGTTCCTGGCTACTCAGAACGCCATCTCTTACTGGCCCTTTGGCGCCTTTTGGTGTCGGCTCGTTATGACCGTAGACGGCATTAATCAATTCACCAGTATCTTTTGCTTGACTGTCATGAGTATGGATCGCTACCTTGCAGTAGTTCATCCCATCAAGTCCACCAAATGGCGGCGTCCAAGGGTGGCCAAACTGATCAGTACAACAGTCTGGACTTTCTCATTCTTGGTGGTTCTTCCAGTCATTATATTTTCAGATGTTCAGGAACACCTTCACACCTGCAACATGAACTGGCCAGAGCCAGTAAACATATGGTCAGCAGCCTTCATCATTTACACGTCGGTTTTAGGATTTTTTGGACCCCTGATGGTGATCTGCCTCTGCTACTTGCTGATCGTGATTAAGGTCAAGTCTTCTGGGGTCCGAGTTGGGTCTACAAGGCGCAGACGGTCAGAGAGGAAAGTGACCAGGATGGTGGTCATCATTGTGGTTGTCTTTGTGTTTTGCTGGCTCCCATTTTATATACTGAACATTGTTAATTTGATATCCACCTTGCCAGAAGAACCTGGGTTACTTGGTGTTTACTTCTTTGTGGTGGTTCTGTCCTATGCAAACAGCTGTGCCAACCCCATACTTTATGGATTTCTCTCTGACAACTTCAAGCAGAGTTTTCAGAAAGTTTTATGTCTCCGGAAGGGGAATGGTGTTGAAGACGGAGATCCAACCAAGCACAGGCAGGAGAACAGCAGCCGCTTGCAAGAAGCAATGCTAACCCAGAGAAACATGGAATTCAATGGACATATGCAAACAAGTAAGGTGTAAGGTCCTGGCTTGAAAAACTGTAAATAAACTGCAGAGCTGAAAAACTGGGGGGATCAAAATCAGAAATGAAACTGAAATCCTGAGACCCACAAGCTCATACAAATGTACATAGATTCCCCCTCCCCCATGAAAGAATTATGGACTATACTGGATTCTGTGGAATGCCCAAGGCACTGTAGCTAAAGCAATCAGACGTGTTATCACTTTCTCTTTCTATATGCTGGGGGACAAATTTACCAGTACATTCTGGCTGCTCTGTGCCATTCTGGTGATGCAAAGCAGCTGTGACCTTGTTTTAACCATCCTATTTGCTTTTTGGTCAGCAAAAAGCAGAGAGTGTATTGGTTCATTTGCCCCAAAGTATTCTCAAAAGTTTGTTAAGTGAATGTTTTATATTAAAAAAGGAAAAAGCACTATTTCTTAAGTGGAAGTTTTCAAAGGAACAGCTCACAGCACTAATTTACTGATCTTGGAAGCATGCGTATGCCATAGTTTTGAGGTGCTGCTTAACCATTTGCATTGTTTTACTGTAATTAATCCACATAAGAGACTCCAAACGCAGTGCCCAGAAGTGTCTCAAATCCCTTGAAAAAAAACCCAGAAATAAAAATACCTTGAAAAAGAATTATTAAATGAATGTGAAATGGAAAATTCATTCATAGTGCCGTATAACATTCTAAACCAAACTGCTTATGAAATGTAATGCCGTCACTTTATTACTATGTAAATGACAGTGATTGTGAAGTCCTGAAAAGCTGTTTTGTGTCTATTTATTGGCTCTGAATGTAAGTGTGGATCTGAATTTAAATCGTATTTTCAGAAATTAAAACAAGTTGAATTCCCTCTTGGCTAGCAGGCTGGTATCTTTTCCTACCATTCTAAGTCACCTCATGCTGAAACTGATACAGCTTTGTCCTTGATGCTTAACTTATCATAGAGCCAACTATTGTTATTATTTATTATTTGTATGACAGTAGGGCCTACGTGCTACAGCCAAGATCAGGGGCCCACTAACACCTAATGAGAGACATTATGCCTTGATGAGCTTACAATCGAAGTAGACAAGACAGACAGGAAAAGAGAGGTCAGTGATAGATCCAGGAAGGGCACCTCAGTGTCCTGAGTCCCAGCCCAGTGCCCTATCCAGTGGGTCAATTTGCTCCTCAGCCAAAAACAAGAAAGGAATACTGATATGCAGTGAGGAGTTGCCAAAATCTTAACAACTGGTTCCCTATAAAAAGTTCTGATTTAAGGGATGTGCCCCAGTATGTATTTTTTGTACCAATAGGGTTACCATACGTCCGTATTTTCCCAGGAGGAATTTTTAAATTTTAAATTTTAAATTTTAAAAATTCCTCCCGGACAGCGATTTAAGAACCAAAAAACCTGACCTGTCTGGGAAAATATGGATGTACGTTAACCCTGACGAAAGTTCTTTTTTAAAAAGATGGGCCTGAACTAGAAACGAGCTCCGTTTCACATGTGTGAGTCCCTGCCGCTCCCTGGGGATGTGCTGGGGGACCAGATGTCCTGATTTTATAGGGACAGTCCCGATTTTGGGGTCTTTTTCTTATATAGGTTCCTATTACCCCCCACCCCCATCCTGATTTTTCACACTTGCTGTCTGGTCACCCTAGGGCGTGCATATGTGTGGGTCCTAGCTGCTCCCTGCCCCCCTCATTGAAGCAGGTGTGCAGGGTTACTGCCCTGGGAACTGCAGGGCACCAGTGGACGTGGGGCCAGCTGCAGAGAGGGGCGTGGGGCAGGGCTAGCTGGAGGCAGGGGGTGCGGAGCTCGCTGGAGACCAGAGGGTGTGGGGTTGGCTGGAGACCAGAGGGTGTGGGCCTGGCTGGAGGCAGGGCAGGGGCTGACTGGAGGTCAGAGCTGGCTGCAGGCAGGGCAGGGGGGTGCAGGGCTGGCTGAGGGCAGGGCAGGGGGTGCAGCAGGGTCTGGTACGGGTAGGGCAGGGGGTGCAGCAGGGGTTGGTGCGGGCAGGGGTTGCAGGGGTGGCTGGAGACAGGGGCTGGCTGAGGGCAGGGCAGGGGGTGCAGCAGGGGCTGGCTGCAGGCGGGGGCAGGGGGTGCGGGGGTGGCTGGAGCCAGGGGCTGGCTGCAGGCAGGGGATGCGGCAGGGGCTGGTGGCTGGAGACAGGGACCGGCTGCGGGCAGGGCAGGGCAGGGCAGGGGGTGTGTGCGGCAGGGGCTGGCTGCGGGCAGGGCAGGGAGTGCAGAGGTGGTTGGAGAGAGGGGCTGGCTGCGGGCAGGGCAGGGGGTGCGGCAGGGGCTGGCTGGAGGCAGGGGCTGGCTGCGGGCAGGGCAGGGGGTGCGGCAGGGGCTGGCTGCAGGCAGAGGGTGCGGGGGTGGCTGGAGGCAGGGCAGGGGGTGCGGGGGTGGCTGGCTGTGGGCAGGGGATGCAGGGGTGGCTGGAGACAGGGGCTGGCTGCAGGCAGGGGGTGTGTGCAGCAGGGGCTGGCTGGAAACAGGGGCTGGCTGCAGACAGGGAGTGCAGAGGTGGCTGGAGGCAGGGGCTGGCTGCGGGCAGAGCAGGGGGTGCGGCAGGAACTGGCTGCAGGCAGGGGGTGCGGGGGTGGCTGCAGGCAGGGGCTGGCTGCGGGCAGGGCAGGGGTACGGGGCTGGCTGGAGACAGGGGGTGCAGGGGTGGCTGGAGACAGGGGGGTGCAGGGGTGGCTGCAGGCAGGGGGTGCGTCCGGCAGGGGCTGGCTGCAGACAGGGAGTGCGGGGGTGGCTGGAGACAGGGGCTGGCTGTGGGCAGGGCAGGGCAGGGGGTGCGGCAGGGGCTGGCTACGGGCAGGGGGTGCGGGGGTGGCTGGAGACAGGGGCTGGCTGCGGGCAGGGGGTGCGGGGGTGGCTGCATGCAGGCAGGGGGGGTGGGCGCTCACGGGCAGAGCGGCTCGGAGCAGCCCGAGCAGCAGGACGCAGCCCCTGCCCATCAGAGCAGCCAGGGACCCACCAGGCAGCAGCGGGAGCCCCAGGGCCGGGGGAGCAGCAGCAGCCCCAGGGCTCGTGCCCAGGGCCAGGCGGCAGCCCACGTGGCTCCCGCAGCGCAGCGCCCCTGGTGGCCGGAGGAGGAATTACATCACTTCCCGGCCGGAGCCCATCAAAGCCTCAACGCCCCCTGCAGGGAAGCGGGTTAACCACCGGTTCTCCAACGGCTTCCAACTGTAACCACGGGGTCGCGCGAACCGGCTCCAGCTCGCCACTGCTGATATGCTGTTTTCCTCTTTCCAAACTACTAGCACCTTGGTTTTTTAATTCTGAAACGAGCTATTTATTTTGCCTAGATATTGTTTCTTGTCACTACTGCTGTTCAAATAACTGTCGTCCTTCCATAAGTATGTTTATTTGTATGAAATAAAGGACATAGAAGCATGGAAGTAAGAGATAGAAAAGACCTATTCCAACAGGGCATTTATGCCAGCCCTTCAACCTTTACTGGATTGCTCCCTGCAGTACACGGGCCTTTTATGGCTTATCTCTGGGGAGCTTTGCTGAGCCCTAATACACCAAATAAATGTCAGCGTGATATTTGTACAAGCAACGAGACAGTCTATTCAAATAGCTGTAAACAGAGCATGATGATAACTTGGTCCCATTTATATTGCAAGGAATAAAATATTAGAAGAGTTACTGTAGAGTAAGAGGGCATATTCGGAGGTTCTTGTTAAGTTTTACACATACCTGCACATTTATTTTATGCATATGATTTTGAAAAATAGGTTGGCAGCTTGAGAAACGTTTTTCCTTACTAAAGTGTAAACACCAGGTTGTTATTGTAGGGTTTTTCCAGGGTTTTAAACCATTGGGAGAAAAACTAAGTCCATACGCAAAACTATGAATTTTTGTACCAAGCTAAGAGAGCTCTTGAGAAAAATGGAGACAATGGACTGGATTCCCTGCTGGCATAAAGAGGCATCGCTCCATTGACATGAAATGAGCAATCTTGAGTTATGTCAGCTGAACATGCATCCCAGGATTATTATCACAGTCTTTCACTTTGGGATCCTAACCTCTTAATGGGGCGAAGATGATGCCATTTCTTTGTGGAACGAATTGGTAGGTGTTCCAAGTGAACCCGTGTCACTCAATGATTGCCTATTCTGTTCATTCCTTCGGAAGCATCTGGCATTGGCCACTGTCGGAAGACAGGATATTGAGCTAGATGGACAAATGGTTTGATCCAGTGTGGCCGTTCTTATGTGCTTATATATTTAGGGCACATATAAGACCATGACCACATCTAGCATTAAAGATCTGATCCAAATCAATGGCAAAACTCCGATTGACTTCACTGCAGACACTGCCGAAGTCAATTGATTTTAGGAGACTTTGGGTCGGGCCCTTATTGAAAAGCTTCTTATTTCAGCAGAGAGAAGCCACAGATTGAATGGGCTTGGAGCAGCATTATCCACTGATCCCTGGATGTACTGGGTGAAATCCAGGCTGCAGTGAAGTCAATCAGAGTTTTGCCATTGATTTCAATGGGGCCAGAATTTCAAGTTGTTATCTGAACCCTGCTGCTTATCCAAATTCATCTCACATGCTGTGTTCCATTCAGATATCCGAGGCTCCTGGGAAGGGAGAGTAGGGGGCTGCGGCTACTGGGAGGGAGTGGGTGTAGGGGCTCCTGGGCCCGAATGCTGGTGCCTGAGCGGGTGAGGGGAGGGTCAGTTGCGGCCACAACCAGTGGCTATTTTCTTCTGTGCCTCAGAAGAGTGTGTTTGCCTAGGGCTCAGTGATGGGCTAATCCGGCCTTGCATATGGGGCACTGGGGGGTTGTGCCTGGGGGGTTGTGCCTAACCCTATATGCCTGTGTGTGTGCTGGGGCAGGCATGTTAAGGAGCCTTCCCCCCTTCTTTGACCTCATAGAGAAGCCAGGCAGAGTCTTGTTCTCGCAATGCACGATGACTGGGGGACCCTCGAGGCAGCGCTCTGGGAGCAGGAGGAGTGGACTGAGAATAAGGCCAGGGCCTTGCGTCCTGCATGGAACAGAATATGTTTCCCCCAGTAACAGGATATATTGTGATGCAGATACCCTCGGGGGCTCAGACAACGCCTCTGGGAGCTGCTACCATTGTGTAAACCTCCCTCATGCCTCTCTTAGGCAGTCGCTTGAAACCATAATGCAGACCTGTGTCAACTTGTTGATTTATTCATGCAATGTATATATATTTCCTGAGTTTTCGGGACATCGCAGGCAACCCTCCCTTAGCTACATGGACCAATGAGCGCACACATTTTATTCCCATTCCACCATTTCCATCTGCTGCCACCACGTGATTACCTGGATATTCCTCACTGGTGTCATGCTGAGAAAACCTGTTTAAGGCTACAGATATGTTTATAAGTGACAGTAATAATGAATTACCCCACACAGGGATGGCATGAGGCTTAGTGTTTGTAAAATGCTCTGCAAACATACAAAGCTATGCAGTGCTATTCAATGTGCATGACTAAGTGGTACGGAACATCAGCATCTACAGCGTAACAGCTGGGGCCACCTTGACATGGAGGAAAGAAACAGAGTTAGGTGCACAAGACTGGTAAAGCTGAGTAGCTCTGGTGATCAGTGACTTGCCTCTGTGAAGCCAAATACTAAAGTGGTCATAATAAGTTGGCAGGGTGTTGGTGGGTTCTATTCCCAGCTCTGCCAGGGCCTGCTGAGTGACCTTGGGTAAACCATTTCGCCTCTCTGTGCCTCAGTTTCCCCATTTTACAAATGACAATCATCTCCTTGGTAAAGTGCTTTGAGATCTATGGATGAAAAGTGCTATACAAGCGGCAGGTATAATTTACTGAGTGCCACCAATGTGCATGGTGCTGTACAG